GCATGGCTCTCCACCCCCCAGCCCCGCACCCTCCAGCCCCCGGCTCAACGCCCTCAGAGCTCTTCACTGCCTGGAGAATGAAGCCCACACCAGCCGGCATCCCAGGCCTCCACAGCCTGGCTCAGTTGCCCACCCCATTTTCTCCCCAATCTCGAAGCTGCATCTTCAGCTTCGGAGAAGCCTGTCTCCTCCTCGCACCCCCTCCAACTCATGTGGGCAGCAGCCGCGACCAAGGGCACGGAGCCTGCGTCGGGAGGCCAAATCCCGGCCTGCCCACCGCGCTTTCTCCTCGGGCACTCACACCTCCGAGCTGGTTCCCTCGTCTCTTTATCAGAGGCTGGGTGTGGGAGTCTCGTGAAGGAAAGGATGTGAGGGTGCTTTGATGGCGTTAAAGGGTAACATAAACACTTATTACTGTGACCTCACACTCGTCACTGCCTCCCCCCAAAAAAACTCACAATAGGCTGTTCGCTCTGTCTCTCTAACCAGAAATGCTGTTTCTCTCTCCTCTCCACTCAGCTAATATTGAATTATGACTCAAATTTAGACCCACCCCATGCTCTACTCTCTTAGAAAGCTGTTATCTTATTATTCTCATTATTCTTACCCACAATGACTTTCCTTATTTGACCTCCTACAATTTTTGCTCTTTATAGAACAAGCATCTGCAACTTAATATAAAACAATGTCTTATGTTCTAAGTGTTTGAGGGTGTAAATCCTATATCCAAAAGTATATCAGGGGAGGGAGGGAATGGGACGTTATTATTTAGTGGGCACAGAGTTTCAGTTGGGGATGACGGAGAAGTTCTGCAGATGGATGATGGTGATGGTCGCACAACAATGCGACTGTATTAAAGTCACTGAATTTGCACCTAAGAATGGTTAAAACGGTACATTTTATGCTACGTGTATTTTACCACAATAAAAAAAGGATAGAGTCACGAAGGAACAAACCATGTGCTTCACCGAGGTAATGGGACGTTATTATTTAGTGGGCACAGAGTTTCAGTTGGGGGTGACGGAGAAGTTCTGCAGATGGATGATGGTGATGGTCGCACAACAATACGACTGTATTAATGTCACTGAATTTGCACCTAAAAATGGTTAAAACGGTACATTTTATGCTATGTGTATTTTACCACAATAAAAAAAGGATAGTCACGAAGGAACAAACCATGTGCTTCACGCGTCCTCACAAGTCCAAGCTCAATGACCACTGTCAGCCACCCGAGAAAGTTAACCCCATTCGCGGCACGGAAAAACATATTGAACATCTACTGGCTACTTTACAGTGTACGGAGCCTCTGCATGAACCTTTCATCCTGCAGAACCCGGTGAGGCGCCATTTATCTGCATATCCTACATGAAGACATGAAAACTCAAAAGGTTTAGTGACTTGATTGTGCTCAGAGAGCACCAGGCTGAGCTGAGTCATCCGGGTCTCACGAACCTGTTGCCCCCTAAGCAGCGGCTGCTCCGGGAGCCCTAACGGGGGCCACTCTGGCGCTCCCGGCTCGCTATTTAATCCCCACCCCGCGAGCACCTGCTCCTGCACTGTGTCCTTCCGCGTGCCCGACCCCACATGGCAACATTTTAGCCTGGGCTACAGGACCGACAGGAGGTGCTCCAAGGTGAATGGTAAACCAGTCCATCTAAATTGTGAATCTGCAGAACCTGAATTTCTTTAGGACTGATTAAAACCCAGAGAACTCTGAATGTGGCACTAACGAACGCCTCTTATGCTTCCGATAGCGGGTACAGACGGTTATCCATCATCTACCCACACGCATGCTAAGGACATAAGGACGCTTTACGCATTGAAACACCGGGCCATTTCCTTAAAAGGCCTGTGCCAGCCTCCGGGAGTGCAGGACAGTGCCCTGTGCTTGGGGAGATAGCACACATACTCAGCATTGCTGTCCTGACAAGTCACCTCCTGATTAGGCTTCAGCAGAATTAGAGCTGAATGTGCTCCTTGGTTCCAGGACAAACGCCTAAGCTTTAGAAGTTTCAAAAGTCCCGTAAAAAGAGCCTTATTCATATGAATATTAATATTCCTACGCCTGTTTACTAAGCAGGCCTGAGAGGAAGGAGCGTGCTGGAAAATGTCCGCCTTCTCATAACAAAGCCAACGTTTTCTGTTTGGAAAAAGCACTACACCTCAAAAAACAAAAACAAAAACAAAAAACAGAATTACCACATGATCCAGAAATTTCACTTCAGGGTGTGAAACCACAAAAAAATTGAAAGCAAGGTCATGAAGAGATATTTGTACACCCATGTTCACAGCAGCATTATTCACAATAGCCAAGAGGTAGAAGCAACCCAGGTGTCCACCAACAGATGAATGGATAAATGAAGTGTGGTCTGCCCACACAATGGGACGTCAGCCTTCAAAAGGAAGGGCGTTCTGACACAGGCTATAATGTGGATGAACTTCGAAAACACTATGCTCAGTAAAGTTAGCCAGTCATCAAAGGACAAACACTGTACTAATCCACTTACATGAGGCATCTAAAGGAGTTAAATTCACAGAGATAGAAAGTACAATGGTGGTTGCGAGGGGCTGGGAAGGAGAATGGAAAGCTACTGTTTAATGAGTATGGAGGTGAGATTTTGCAAGATGAAGAGAGTTCTGGAGATGATTGCACAATACTGTGAATATACTTAACACTACTGAACAGTACACATAAAGCTGAGTAAGACAGTAAGTCTTATAAGAATTTACCGCAATTAAAAAAAAAAACTCATAAAAAAAACACTACACTCTTATTAAGTCCTTCTGTAGCGAGGGTTACCGCAGCCCATCAGACTCTCTCAGCTGTGGATATAATTAGGCGCTGCGTCCCTTATAACGCTGTAGACGTCACTGCGTGTTACCAGCATCTGTTGACAGGTCTCATACCCAGCATATCACTGAAATGCCAAGTGTGGAGAAGGTGGCCCACAATAGAAACAATGGCATTTATCCTCATCTTGTTCCAACTGTTTGTCTCACAGGACATAAATAGAGGCCACCGCAAGGCCCTGAGCTCACAGTTCAATATTATTTTACCAATCTGAGTACTTTTGCACCAAAAGTAAAAAGAGAGTATCTCCTGGAGCTGTTCAGCTCTGTGTACTAATGTAGTGTTTGTCTATTTCCCTCAATGTATACAACACTCATTCTATCTTAAGAAAAAAATACTCACTTTAAACTTTTCAGCATTATCTTGAACTGGGATCAAGAAGTATATCCAAAAAAAATAAGAGTATCCATTTTTTAAAAATAATATACATCAAGCACTATAGAATTACAATAACATATACTTTTACAGGAACCCCAAATCTAAAAAAAATTACAATGCTATTATATTCGAAAATATTTTGAATACATTAAACATTAAATATGGCACAAAACATGTCAGTGTGGTCTTTGGAAACTGACAAGAGCTCTCTCCTGCTCTTGTGCCATATTTTAAAACACTCGCCAGAAGCCACCGTGATTAGATTATTCCAAAATCGACGGGCAGACTGCCTGTCTAATTCCTTAGCTATTTGACTGTTCTTCATGAGGGAAAAAAAAAAAAAGCTATCTTTGAAACAAAGACTTAGGAGAGTTTTTTAATCCATGAAAAATGTAATAATCAAAATTGTGAAAAAAAATTTAAAAAAGGAACTGATAAAAATTGGTCACTTTTTAAGTTCTTGCTGATTGGTGATAGATCAACTAGTCCAGATGACACATTAATAATCCTTAGGCCCTGTGATTCCCTCACAGTAAGTCATTTAAAAAATGGTGGAAGCTTCGAAATTTTATTTACCTTTATAGATTCAACTTCTACTTATCACTCCCATCCTCTCGTTTGTGAGAAGGTAGTGATGGTGGAAGCATTAGAAAACTAAGGTGGGAAATGAAATGTAGCTAAATTAGAGCATTAAAATAAGAATATATGGTATATTTTAAGAGAGAGGGTAGCCGCCAAAGAGAAATCTGGATACAAAAATAATGCTTGGTTACTTGATAATTATCCAAACATGGGACCTCACTCCTGCCAGCTCACTTTTGGGGAGAGAAGTTCGGGATGTATGTGATTCGCACTCAAACAGTAATCACCCACAGCAGCAGCTACACGCAGCACTTCCCATGCACACACATGACCCTCAAAGGTCATCCACTTAAAAGCGGCCCTGAGGCGGGAAGCCCACTTTGCCCCCACCACCACCAAATACGGGAAAAGCTCAGGGCACTTGGCTTTGCCACGACAGGGGTCATCATAAGGCCGGTGAGCAGCTCTGTGCTGGCAGGCCTGATTCAGCCCGGCTCTGTGCCAGTCAAGCAGGAGGTGGGACTGATCCTCCTGGTGAGCATCCCTGCTTGTTCCAGCCAAGGGGATCAAGAAGAAGCCCTGAACCGTGGAATGTTCCATTGGGCCCCAGAGAGTGCCAACTAGGATGGAAGAGAGCTTTTAGGGCTGGCGGAGACCATCATCCTGGGCACTTACCTCAGTGACCCATAAATAGAGTGTGAATAATCATTACTTTATGGGTGAATGTGCGGTGTTCATACAGCAGCCCCTCTAAGGAGCCCGTGACAGTTAAGAAATGGTTTTCGGTTACTGTTTGGGGCGGCCCTGTGGGCACGACGGGCAGGGGAGTGTGCCTCGGCGGCCCAGGTCGCCGACTCAGGAGTCGCCGCTCTCAGAGTCGGGGCTAACACAGGTCAGAGCGGAAACATGTAACGGGGTTCACTTTGTACTCTCACGGCACTCACACACGACGCCCCGCTTCGTGCCTGTCCGCGGACGTGTCCCCTCTCTACCCCGCGCGGGGCTGTGAGGACCCGGGACAGCACGCGAGCCGGGACAAGGCGACCCGGGACAGCACGACCCCTCCCGCTCGTCACCGAGGCGGGAGCCCGCGGGGAGGGACACAGATAACGGGCATCTGGAGGACACGGACATGCAGGGGGCGGATCCGGGGACCCGGACCCGCGGGGGGACACGGCGCGCCCCTGACCTTCCTCTGCTGCTTCTCCCAGGCGGGGTCCAGCAGCAGGTCGCGGTCCCACTCCTCCTCCTGGATCATGTACTCGTCCTCATCGTACACGTAGTTGTACTGCACGCCGGGCTCGACCTGGTTCATGGTGCAGGGCGGGCGGGCTCGGACGAAGGACAGCGGCGGACACGCAAAGACGCGGCGGGGCGCGGTGCGGGGCGGGCAGGCGGAGACGCGGCTCCTCCGGGCGGTA